ACCCTAGATTTCCCCAAAACAGCTCCAGTCTGATCTGGAATAGCTCAGTGACGGCCAAGAAGAACCGATGATGATGATGCTGATGAGTCGGATATCCGGTCTTGCATTTCTTTTTCCAGTAAATCAACACATAACAATTTGGACTATTTTTAGATTTGTACTTGCCATCCTTGCGCAGGAGCCATTTAGTGAATGGGGAAGAGAAAGGAAAAAAGAAACGGGGAAGGGGAGGAAAAGTAGGATAGAAAATGAAAAAAGTTTACTGGATGGGGGAATTGCTTGGGAAGATGATAGAGGTGGCAGGGGAGGGGAAAAGAGAAGGGGAGAGAGGAAGGTCTTTTATTCTTTTTTTTCCTTTTTTTTAATATTTTATTCTATTTCTAATATTTTTTTAATAAAAATAAAATTATTCACGCGCCTTGGCATCGTGATTTGCACACAATTTAGCCATGTCAGCTGTGCCACTTCCACATAAGCTTGGTCAATGGCCAAATGTGTTTATTAGTATTCATTCCGTTATGTTGAAGTGTTCAAATAGGAAAAATATAAGTTCATGTATCGGCTTTACAAACCGATACAAGTTTAAGTGGCGAGGAAGCCATTACGCCTGAAGAAAATCTCTAAAGTTTATAGTTACCAAAAGAAAAAAAGTTTATCATGATGCTAAAATATAAGACAACATAGTTCAACAGCTTTTTCCTTCTTTTACTAGAGTGAACGATTGATCCTGAGAAGAACTTGGTATCTTATTGTTAAACATCATTTTATGTCAACGATGGCTATTTTTTTCAAGCTGACGAATTCTTTTATTAGTATTGTTTTTATTTTTCCAGAGATATCCTTTTGATGGGGATAGTAAGATTTAGAAAAAGTATAAGGTAATTAAGTGCTTATTTTTCGACCACATAATGTAACACAGAACTGGAAAAATGCACGAAGGATATACTAAAATTTACCTTTTCTTCCCTCCTTTCCATAGTTTGGTTGAGGATACTGCACCATTTAATATCTGGCACACTAGACATCCACGACCAATAGCGGTAGGCAGAGGCGAATTCAGAATTTTAACTTTATAAGTTCACAATTTAAGGTATTTAGCATTGAATCGATTATATTTTAAAAGTACGGGGTTCGAAGCCGCAACTCAAAAGTTACATCCGCTCCTCCGGTCTTGCTAACAATATAATTAGCACTATTCATTTTGATATGAGAACACAGCAGAACTTCCAATTTCGTTCATCAAATATAGTAGTGTATACAAAGAAGAGTTTAGTTTGTCCTTGTTTAAATATTAAAGAGGTAATATCATACGGCTTTTCAAGAGAGAGACCTCAATCATAGTTAGAATCCAGTGGTGGGCCAGCTCTAAGCTGTATGCATCTCTGTGATGGGTAACTTCCATAAAATTGTTCGTGTAGTTTATGACTAGATGTAACTGTAAGCATTTTCTGTACAATAAATCGATAGTCCAGTGTTCATGTTCCTACAGGAAATACAGAGATGGTTTAGGACAATCTGAGTTGTTTCCGGTGGAGTCAAAGGCAGGTTTACCATGACGTACAGATATAAATCTTTAGGGAAAAGAGTTGCTGCTACAAACAAAATCCACAAAAGCATCGTAATTGGCATATGCTATTTTGAAATGGACATAGCAAATGGTATAGAAAAGTAGTAATAGCAATTTTTGTGCAAAAATCTTATACACTTTATCATCGTCTAGTACTCCCTCGTGCTCGTGGTCCACTAGGAATGGCAGGCGGGGCGGGGCGGGGCGAGTGCGGGGCGGTTCTGTCTGGACCGCAAAATTTAAACCCGCCCCGCCCCGCCCCGCCCCGCATAGGATTTAAACCCGTATACACCCGCACCGCGCTCCACCCGCGTTCACCCGCCCCACCCCGCACCCGCACTTTTTTTTTTTTTGCTTAATAAAATTTCTTTTGTCTTTTAGAAAGCTAGACTTAAATCTGATTTTTTACTACATAGGCCAAACTTTTTACGTGTTTATGTTTTGGAAATTACTAATTGGCCATACTTTTATGTTTTGCTAAAATTGAGGTTGAAGAGTGCTTCTCCATAGTCCAATCTTTTGGTCGACAACCTTGCTAGTTTTGTCACTTAGCATAATATTACCACCAAATTAATAGTCTCATATTGTATCATATTTGTTAATTAGTTCTTCCATAACTAAATGAGTTTAACTAATATCTTTACATTATCAAGGTGGGTTAAAGCCTTTTAGTATGACTTTTTATAGCAAACACAGATTAATAACCAGCAAAACACGAAATAGGAAAATTAAACTAATTATAACATAAAAATATTTTTAAACAGTTTATATTATACATAAATTAATTTTTCGATCTGAAACTTGGCAGTGCACGTGAATGGGAGGGTATGCAAGGACCCTAAGCTTGTAGAAGCAGAGGACTTCTTTTTCAGTGGGCTGAACATAGCAGGCAATCCCCACCCGCGAACCCGCCCCGCTCCGCATATTTTTTTTATTGAAAAATTGAACCCGCCCCGCAACCGCAAAATCTCAAACCCGCCCCGCCCCGCACCCGCCCTGCCCCATTGCCACCCCTATGGTCCACATTATTTGCCCTTTAAGGTTTTCGGCTTCTCACATATCGCTTAAGAAAAATATATTATAACCGCTGATGTTTTATACTTCAATACCACATTAGATGGGGTGATTTGTGTGGTGTCCAATTTTTCGCTTAAGTTGTTTATGGAAGGACCTGGTTCTTCTATGTGTTCCAACTACTACTGTTGCGGAACAATAAGTACAGAAATTAAAGAACACAAAGATTTTACGTGGAAAACACCTGGCTCAAAAGGTGAAAAAACCACGACCTACTTTCCAGTAGGATTTTTCCAAACTCTCCACTAAAATCAGTGAGCCAAAAACTGCATTTACAAAACACTTTTGTAAACATAGGATTAACTTTAATCCCGTTGTAGCACACAGCCTCAACTATTGCGACAACTTCAAGTTAACTCTAACTTGAAAACTCTAAGTACCCAATACAATTGCTTCTAGATAAAGCTGAAAGGTACAATATGAAATTGAACTAGAATAAAAGACAGACACTTGAAACTAGTTCTTCTATCTGGCTCAAGTAGATTCAGGTTTGCACGCTTGAATCACACATAAATTGCTTGCAAAATTGCCTAGCTATTTTGCTCTCAATTCACGATTTACTTCTGCTTATGTGCGTTACCTGTAAAAGAGAACAACACTGATATTTGTGGAGTTAGTAAATAGAGATTGACTAGAAGTCTGATGCTACTCTTCCTTGGTGGAAGAATTCTAGTTGATCTCAACCTCTAACTCCTTCCCTTTCTTAAACCGTGTTCTCTTTGAGTAAGGAGTCTTTATCCTTATCCAATATGCAACCTTTTCGATCAGGATCGGGAGATATCACTTCTATTAAGTTAGGTTTTTCTCCTTCACGTGCATCTCACATGCTTGAGTTGACCATATCTGTGCTTCACTAGGATGGACTTGGTCCATGTCTGAGTTCCTTTGTCAGTCTTCAAAATTCACCTTTACTTGGGCCAACAAATTTCTCCTTTTTATGATGACAAACTCTGTGCTTTTCATTCACTTAGGCTCTGTCAGAACTCAGCTCAATCATCAATGCAAAGTTAGAAATTTTTCACTTAACATCAAGGACCAGGTTCATTAGGTTATAAACATCACTTATTCAGAATATAAAGCACAATATCTTAATTCCCTCTTCTGGCATCATCGAAAGGTTGCATAAACAAAGTGTTATCCCCAGAATTTTAAAAATTACTCATGACCACTGGGGCAACTGCAAGTGCAATCATGGATTAATCATCAGTAATCAACCACACATATTCAAACTATAAGGAAAGATAAACAGTCAACAAGAGCAAAAACAGCGAACATCATTGATAGAGAATATGATTCTGCCACAATCCACAAAAAGAAACAAAAACAGTCAAAACATGAGCAAAACAAGAAAAATCGCTAATCTGGGTCACTAAAAGGTCTAGACAAAGTTCAAGAAATGAAGGCTAAGGAAATTAAGGCTGGGAAAAATTAGAGGGTTGGGTTTTGGCTTGGAGAAGTGCAGCATGTCTTGAAGAATGCCATCATTCTTCTCCTTTTCCTTTGTGAGCTCAGTTCTGAGAGCATCTCTCTCAGATTCAACCTCTGCCAAACGAGTCTTCAGCCTAGCTATCTCAGCATCCTTTGCCTCACTCTCCTGCAATAGAGCTCTGACTTTGCTATTGATAGGTGTCTTTTTAGATGAACCAGGTTCATAGGGAATGACATTGACCTCATAATCACAAGCAATCAGAGTATTGATTCCAAAATGGTCTTTGCTTGTGGCCATCTCCCACTTCTTCAGTGGCACCTTACAACGAGCAAGAACAGTAGTGAGAATGAAAGCATAAGGTGTGTCATGGGCCTTGGAGCCATTGATGACCCTATCAAGTAGCTTGATCATAAATCCAGGCTAGTTGATCTGCCGCCCACTTTCAAGACACTCCATCAAAACCAAATCCATGTAGTTAGCAATGTGTCTTCTTTCCTTCCTAGGCAGCAAACACTTGTTGACAAATTCAAACAGGACTTTGTGGCGTGGCTTCATTTCACTCTTATACACGACCTTGGACTCATTCACTTCTGTGCTATCACAGAACTTCCTAGTAATGGCAAGGGCAGTAGGAAGGGAGTACAGACTTGGCCATCTCTGCCTTGTGTAGTCATCATACCCTTCAGAAGGAATGTCAAGGATTTCACCCAGCCTTTTAGCATCAAAAGACACTTGAACCCCTTTCACCTGGCTGGTAACTCTGCCATCCTTGACCTCTACATTGGCCATGAACTCAATAATCTCATTCCTTGCCAGCCTGCCATCCAACTGAAGGACCATGTCCTTCCATCCCTGAACAACTAGAGCATCAACCAGTCGAACCATCCCTGGTTCCTCCAAATCCTTCAAAAGTCTACCCTTCAAGATGGTTCATTTGCCAAACTTGGCCAACTTGTCTTGTTCATTATCAGATTCACTCTCTTCTTCACCACTCCATTCTTCCTCCTCAGTGATTTTAACTTGCTTGGCTTTCACAGCAGACCTTGTCCTTTTAGCCAAAGAGGGTTCAGTAGTCTTAGATACAGATGAAGACTTCTTGGAGGAAGTCTTGGTCTTCTTGGGCTTAGGGGTCTGCACCTCCACACTCACATGTTCACCCTAATGGACCGGGTCCATCTCATCCACATCAACAGCCTCAACAAGCTCTGCAACTTTAGCTTTCTCTTTGTCCATTCTTTTCTTCTTGCTTTCTGCCATGGCCTTTTGTAACTCATCCTCACTCTGCTTCAACTTACTCCTTGTGGCCCTTCCTTTTGGTAGAGGAATCTCAGTAGTTGTTAGAGAAGTAGCCTTCCTTTTCTTGGTAGTTTTTGCAGTGCTAGGAGCTTTTGGTGTTGGAGTTCTCCTTTTCTTGGGGTTATAGCTTGCACCCACTTTCTTCAGAAGGTTTGCTAGGGTCTCCTCAATAGATGAACCAGGTTCATCTGCATGTGAACTTAGATTGACCAGCCCTTCAGTAGCCTCCCTTAAGCCACTTCCCCCCTGTTTTCTTGCTACTCTCTACCACATTTTCATGCTCAGTCCCACAGATAGCCGATCTAACCATTTCAGAAGTGGGTGAAGAATCAGCCACTTCTTTCCCTTTTCCCCTCACATCACTACTCACACCCTCACTCGCCTTTTCTTTTTCCCTTTTATTTTTACCTCATCTCCTTCTTGACTTAGGCGTTTCCACATTCATAACAGACCCAACCAAAACAAAATGATTGTCCAAATTTTCAACTAGTATAGAACGTACCTTAGAAGGGGGATTTTGCACCTTTTCAGAATCAGAAGACCCAGTTCCTTCCCCCTCACTCGCAGACTTAAAAGAATCATCTGAACTTTTAGAATCTTGGGCTTGACTAGACTTCAATTTTGCATTTAGTTTCTTTGAAAGCGCACCTATAGCCACAGTTTTGCGAGCAAGCATCTTCACTCGCCTTCTCCTAGGTTGGGGGATTGTGCTGGGTTGAGGAGTAGTGGAGGAATCGGATGGGGTAGGTGGTGAAGGAGAGCCTGGGTTATCTTGGGGGTTGGTCATCTTTGCTAATTCTGGAAGAAAATTTTTGAAGTGAGTTTTGGAAGAGAGAAGAGTAGAGAATGAAAGAAAATTGACGGTTTTGAGAATTATGAAAGTCGCAGTGATGATGATGGTTTTTAAAGAGAGAGGGTTAATTAATATCCCAACGGCAGCTTTTTGTAGTCAATTAGAAGTCTAATCACTCTTAAATTTTAGGTTGAACGAGCGGTTAAGCTTCCCTAGATTCTAGGCATTTTTATACGGTGAGGATTCTAATAGAATCGGAACTGGTTCGAACTCAAAATAATATGTTTTTCTGAAGTTTTTGAACATAGGTAGGACTCTGGTCATGAATTAAATATTAATATTTCTAATTGTGCAGAGTGTAGAAAACATACCTCGTTATTCAGATGAACTAGTACTGTTGAACCAGGTTCTTTACTAAGAATCCTCTTGATCATGCCTCAATTTGCCAAAATAAAAAAAAAATTGTTAGAGATCAGTGAGTCATATCAACACATGGCACAGGAGTATACTATTTACAGTATGAGACTGAGCAAAAATTAATCTACATATTTACACAAGTTCCAGATTTCCTAACTAAATTTTTTTTCATTATGCATTCTGAACTGGTTTCATTAGGTGATCTTAATCATCCCTAGTTCTAGCCTGTTCCTTTCAAAGCTTTCTCTACTCAGTGCTTTTGTAAAAATGTCAGCAATCTGCTTATCAGTAGCACAAAATTCTATAGTGATCAGTCCTTTATCATAGTTGTCCCTTAAGAAATAGTGTCTAACATCTATGTGCTTAGTTCTCTTATGATGAACCGGGTTCTTAGTCATACTAATAGCACTAGTGTTATCACAAAAAATAGGGATGCAACCAACTTCAATACCAAAATCCATCAACTGCTGTTTGATCCACAGCAATTGAGCACAGCAGGAAGCAGCAACAACATACTCAGCTTCAGCAGTAGATAAGGCCACTGAGTTTTGCTTTTTAGTGGCCCATGACACCAGACATGAACCAAGAAAGTGTGCCATACCTGAGGTGCTCTTCTTGTCCACAAGGAAACCTGCATAGTCAGCATCAACATATCCCACTAGATTAAAGTTACTACCTTTTGGATACCAAAGGCAAAGGTCAGTAGTGCCTTTCAAGTATCTCAATATTTTCTTGACAGCAGTCAAGTAGGATTCCTTTGGATTTGCTTGAAATCGAGCACAAAGCCCTACACTGAAGACAATGTCAGGTCTGCTAGCAGTAAGATACAAAAGTGAACCAATCATACCCCTATACAACCTCTGATCAACAAATGAACCAGGTTCTTCTATGTCTAATTTTATAGTTGTTGCAATAGGAGTGTCTATTTCCTTTGATTCGTCCATTTTAAACTTCTTAATCAACTCTTTTGCATATTTCTATTGATGGATCATGGTTCCATTTGAGTTTTGTTTATTCTGTAAACCTAAGAAGAAGTTAAGGTCACCCATTATACTCATTTCAAATTCACTCCCCATTAATTTAGCAAATTCCTTACTAAGTTTTTCAGTGGTTGCCCCAAAATTATGTCATCAACATATATTTGTACCACTAGAATATCCTTACCTTTTTCCCTCAAGAATAGAGTACTATCAATTTTACCTCTCTTGTAGCCATGTTCAAGCAGGAATTTGGATAGTCGTTCATACCATGCTCTAGGAGCCTGCTTGAGTCCATAGAGTGCCTTACCCAGTTTATATACATAATCCGGACACTCCTTGCTTTCAAACCCTGGAGGTTGTTTTACAAATACTTTTTCCTTGAAGTCGCCATTTAGGAAATCACTCTTGACGTCCATCCGGTGAAGAGTAAATTCCATGTGTGCAGCAAAGGATATGAGAAGTCTTACTACTTACAATATTGCAACTAGAGCAAAGGTCTCATCATAGTCTATGCCCTCCTCTTGGATATAACCTTGAACCACCAACCTTGCCTTGTTCATTGTAACAGTTCCATCTTCATCAAGTTTGTTTCTGAAGACCCATTTAGTGCCAATTACTGATCTGTCCTTAGTTCTTGAAACCAGATGCCAAACTTGATTCCTTTCAAACCGATTGAGTTCATCTTGCATTGCATTTACCCAGTCTGCATCCTGCAAAGCCTCAGCAACATTTTTAGGTTCAATAAGAGACAGGAAAGCATCAAAAGCACACAGATTCTTTAATTGAGATCTAGTTTTGATTCCAGAAGTTGGGTCAGTAATTATGTTCTTAATGGGATGAGAACTTTGATACTTGTAAGGTTTCACAACCAACTGGTTTCTGCTTAATGTTTTCCTATGTTTTGTTGTTGAGGAACAGGCTCATGGACAGGTTACAATTGGGAGTTAAATTGAGTTATTCTTTGTTCAGTTCCCCCTGTCAGGTTGCCCTAAATGGAAGAACCTGTTCCATCACCTGTTCCTTCTTCTGGTGCAGCTTCAGCTTGGGCTGTGACTTCACTTAAGCCTTTTACCAGTCCAATAGCTTCATCTTCATGTTCCTATCTCTCAGAAAGAATGTTAGTTTCATCAAAAACTACATGTACACTTTCTTCTACACACATAGTTCTTTTGTTGTACACTTTATAAGCTTTGCTATGTGAAGAATATCCCAAGAATACTCCCTCATCACTTCTGGGATCAAACTTACCTAGGGAGTCCTTTCCATTGTTGTGCACAAAGCACTTGCATCCAAATGCCCTAAGATGGGATATATTTGGTTTTCTCCCTTTAAGTAACTCATAGGGAGTCTTCTCTACAAGAGGTCTAGTCATGCACCTATTAATGATGTAACATGCAATGTTTACAGCTTCTGCCCAGAAGTTATGGGGCAGTTTACTAGAAAGAAGCATAGTCCTAGCCATATCTTCAAGTGTCCTGTTCTTTCTTTCAACTACTCCATTTTGTTATGGAGTCCTAGGGGCAGAAAATTATGATCCCACGATCATCACAAAATTCAACAAACTTAGCATTTTCAAATTCAGTTCCATGATCAGACCTAATTGATGCAAGTTGATTACCTAGTTGTTTCTGAGTTTTTCTAACAAAAGAAGTAAACATGTCAAATGTTTCATCCTTAGATGTTATAAATTATGTCCAAGTAAACCTAGAGTAATCATCAACAAGCACCATCACATATTTTTTACCACATCTGCTTAATGTTCTCATTGGACCACAAAGATCCATATGAACCAGTTCCATCGACCTAGTCGTGCTAACCATTTTCTTGCATTTAAAAGAGGATCTTACCTGCTTCCCCCTTGCAAGCCTCACAAAATTTATCTTCCTTAAACTTGATGTTAGGCAACCCTATCACCAGGTCCTTGGAGACTAATTTGTTGAGTTGACATAGACTTGCATGTCCAAGTCTTTTGTGCCAGAGGAGGGGATCATTGTCCAACACACTTAAGCAAGTGAGTTCATTCTCTGAAAGAGTGGAAAAATCTACAATGTATATATTGTTTACACTTTTTCCCTGCAAAACAATCTTGTCAGTGGTAAGATTATCACAAAACATTTGGTAGAGGTGAATGCTACCAAGTTACCTCTGTCACACAGTTGTGATACACTAATTAGGCTATATTTCAAGCCATCTTTCAGGTAGACATTCTCAATGGAGTGTGAGTCTGTCTTACCTACCTTTCCAACCCCAATGATCTCACATTTCTTACCATTTCCAAAGGAGACCTCCTTTTAGGTTCTCAAGTGAAAGGAACTGGTTCTTGCTTCCAGTCATATGCTTTGAGCAGCCACCATCCATGTACCATATTTGGCTGCTCCCCTTCACTTGAACCTGCAAAAAGAAATCAAGGGTTAGTCTTAGGAACCCAAACTAGTTTGGGTCCCTTTCTATAAGGGTGAATTAAATTCTTTTTAGCCCATCCTAACAGCCTATTTTTCCCATGAACAAAAGTTTTGTTCTTTTGACTGGCCTTTTCTTTTGCAGTGCACTCACTTTTGTAGTGACCAGTCTTACCATAGTGTGTGCAGATTTTGTTCTCAGGAAGTGTGATATACTTGCTTTTGGGATCCCACTTAGGTGCAGGGGTCCCATAGCCAAGTCCTCTCCTATTGCTACTGTGGTGTTCTTGTAGCCATGATAGAACATCAGAGGACTTATTCCATTTACAAGTTCTGTCTAGTTCATGCTTAACCTTTCTTAGATCTTCTTTTGGGACTCTTATCTGCTCGTCCTTTTTGTACAACTCATCCTTCATTTTTCCTAGATTTTCTTCTAAGGTGAGATGTGTGTGATCAGCTTTCCTTTTACCTATTCCTAGTTTCAGTTTTAAATTTTCAGATCTAAGCTCTAGCACAGTGGTGTCAAGTTCAAGAACCTGGTTCTTCAGCTTAGCATTTTTACTATTACTTTCACTAGCCCTGAGTTCTAGATTTTTGCACTTAGCTTTCAAGATTACACATTCCCTAGACAGTTGTTCCTTCTAATTGTTTATGACCTCATATTCTTCAATAAAATCTAGCAGTAACTCAGATAGATTTTCTTTGGACAAAAATTTAATCTTGTCTTTGAGATGAATCACACTTACCTTTGATTCCTCATCGGATTCTTCAATGGCCATCAGTGCTTGTTCATCTCCATCTTCAGTTTCTGAATCCTCATCTAAGCTCTCTCCCAAGCAGCAATCATAGCCTTTGTTGATCCTTTGTTCTTCTTGGGATGAACCTGTTCCTTCTTCCTGTTTCTTCGTTTAGCCCTTTCTTTCTTCCATTCAATTTCCTACTGAGGACAATTTGTGATCATGTGGTCAGTTTTACCATATTTGTAGCAGCCCTCATTGATTTGTTTTTTAGTGACCCTTGGTTTGTTGAAGGTTGCACCTCTTGAAGAACCCTTTCCTCTCATTAGATACTTCTTGAAATCCTTCGTGATCATAGCTATTTCATCTTCCTCTAGATCTGCACCTTCAGCTATTCTAAGGGCCAAGCTCCTTTCCTTCTTGGGTGCATCCATCTTCATGGTTTGCCTTCTAAGTTCATA